AATGGCCTCTTGGTCTGGGTTCCATCCACATCATTATTCAGTCGATCCGTAGTTAAAAACTACAAGAGAAGGAAAACAGCCTTGATATGTACACGTATATATATTTCAAAAGGTTCTGTCAGTTCACCAGGCACGTCCTGCGCCTGATGAATTTGATTAGTCTCTCTGGAACTCCATCATGTTGCATGCTTGCCAGAGCTCTGTTAATGAAATCAAGGATAGTGATAAAGTTGAAGTTTAACGGTAGGTTGTTGATACTTGAAACATGTTTCAATACGATTCTCAGCGTGAAAATTTGGTCAGCCATATCCCAACCTAAATCTGGCTTGGTTAGAGCGCCCACTTATGCCGCACTGCGGCTGTTTTTTTCAGTAAAAGAGAAGCAGAAACCTTCCTAGAAACAGGTTAATTCCTGGATAACCGTCGCATTGAGTCCTATTGAAAATTGAAAACAGAACTAAAAAAATTTCACATTCACATGGTTTATTCCTCCTTTGCTAATGAATACAAATAATCTCTGCAATTGTTTGTGAAGGATGCACTATTTGAAGATTTCAATTCACAGATCATCTTTTCCAGTGGATTTATCATATACTAAATGAATTATAAAGTTTATCTCACGCTCGATTGATGGTCTGCAGTTACAGTCGTGCGGCTCTAAACTCATTCCAATCGTGATGTTGGATGACCCGTTATATGTAGTTAGATGTTCAAAGTATTTCCTGCATCAAATGAGGCGATCTTTGATAGTCTTAACTAGATTTTCATTCTGGGATTTTCGAGTCCTGTTACCTTATGTACTGAGTGGAATAGTTTTCTATGATCACTTATTCGAATTTCTCCATATTAAAAGCCGTATAGTTCCAGTGTTGATTTTTGTCCCTTATCGCGTGATAGTTGCAGTTCTACGGAATTGTAGCACGCGCACTCTTACGGCTTTATCGACAGCTGGACCAGTTTCGTCTGAGATTCAATTTGCCATTCAGTTTGCCTTCTTCCAAGTCGTGTGCACTAGAGTGAATTTGGCTCTCTTCTGGAGGAAAGGCTCCAACTATGTTAAATGTCTCTTCGACAATTCGCGGGATATTAAGGAAATGTTAAAATATTTTTTAGGTATTTCAGCTCCTCGGCTTGAAACCAGAGCGTGCTGACTATCCTTTTAATTTGAGATAGGCAAATGATATTAAGGAATGCGTTTTCTGTTTCGTCAATTTCAATTCAGATTTTGGTTGTAACCATAACATGGTCCTAGTCATTTTCGGTTATCTAGTACAGAATTTTTCCATCGATGATTGATTAAAATGCAGTATCAATATGATTTTCAAATGTTTTTGTTGATTAATGTTGATTATCTAGTCTCATTTAACTAAAGTCTTTTGCAATGCTGAAAATATATATTGGTGCCAAAAGCCCTTGCTCCTCAGTAAAGTGGAAAAGGGCTCTTCATTGGCACATTACCTGTTATGTCGTATTTAACGGCTACAGAAGATAGTGGAGTGTGCTCACGTCCTACACACGCATTTTAATCTATTGCGATCTCAGTCACGTCATTTTTGGGGAGATATGATGTTGGTAAGTTCAATTCGGCACAAAATCATTTTTTATCCAGGTAATCTTTGCAAAGTATAAGAGCATAAATATTGATATTGCAAAAGATCAAGATTGCAAAATTTGCCTTTAAAGCAGGCGTCAGCCAACCGGTCATTAGCAGGATTCCATACGATCAGAACTAGTCATTCGACTTCATTTAACCGAAACACCACTGTGATATTGCGAGTAGTTTTTATTCGTTATTCGAATAAATATATAATCATAATCATTTCTTTGGACCAGAATTAAGAAGGTGGATGATGGATGATGGATTTGCGACAGATAATTGGCATACAGATCGTATTTGGATAGGATGTGGGTGGTTACCATTTGGCTCCCAACATCCACAAATGTTCTGAAATTCTGCGCAGCTATGGCTTCGCTGGAGGGCCGACTGACATTTATTCGACTTTCTTAGGTGGGTATATAAAATAGGTCGAGGACTTATATGTCATTTTTAATATTGCCATTTCCAAGCTTTTGCATATTTATCGTATATACCACTGGGATAAGAATATGCACATGAAATAAAAAATGCATATGAACACCTCTTTTGGTTTACTTAACCCATTTCCTTTAGTATCACTTGTTGATAGCAATATAGGTGGATTCCCAGCAGTTAAAGATTTAATTTTAATAATAGATTTGCTTCTGTCTAAATAGACAAGGAGATAATCGCAAAAAAACTAAGAAAAAAACTAAAAAATTTAAACTATTTTTACATTATTTTGTTCCCTTTTCTGGCAAATTTTTGCTAAAAAAAATTTTTTTTGGCTTTTTTTTTTCATTCATTTCCTCATCCCATTTTACTCATTTTAAAATTTTTCTGTCGCTGGAGTAAATATGTTATTAAAATCAAATCTGGAAAGTTAGGGAAAGAAAGATGAAAGAAAGAATTTTTTTATAAAAAAAAAAAGAATAATTTTTTAAAAATTTGTAAGGCTTATGGTTCTATGCACATATATAGCCTGAATATATATTTCTTCCGCTTACAATTAGAAAAAAAGGAAAATAAGATAAAAAATTTAAACTATTTTTACAATATTTTGTTCCCTTTTCTGGCAAGTTTTTGCTAAATTTTTTTTGGCTTTTTTTTTTCATTCATTTCCTCATCCCATTTTACTCATTTGAAAATTTTTCTGTCGTATGATGTTTTTTTTTCTTCCACATATGTTTTAATTTTCGAGGTTTTTTTTCATTGTTATTTCTTTCAGAAACAGTACAAAATCTTAAGCAATTACACAAAAATGTGTTAATCGAACAAAAACAAATTGAAAATGGTGCTTTATTTTGGTTTATTTTTCTTTATTTTTTATTTTTCACACGTCATTTTTCTTATTCATTACATTCGTTACAATTTCATTTTTTTTTGTCTTTTTTCAACTTATTAACATTTATCGAATGGGGAAATTTAGAATAAAATTTAAAATTTTTGGGTGAATGGTACGTAAATTAGTGCAAACAAATAGAAACAGTGGATTAATCATTTAAAAAAAAATTTGAGTAGAGCGGAACTTAATTAAAAATTAGCAAAGAATTTTAACATCCTTTATATATTATAAAAGATTTCTAATAGATCTGTATAAATAGTTTTATTTTAATTTATTTATGAATTTTAAAATTTTTTCGGTTTTTATTGGTTTTCTGCTTTGCAAATAATTAAAATCTATCTAACTATAGAAATAAAAACCTTGAAATTTGCTTGTGAAGATCAGAAGAATAAAATTTCAAAGCTGCAAATGGGAGAAGAAAATTCGGAAAACGTCTTAAACCAGACTATACAACGCCGCGATGCTTTTAAAGATCAGTATATACATCTCACAAAAGGTTGGTCTTTTGGCACTTTTTTTTTTACAAAATAATATTTTTTGAAGAATGTGAAGAATCGGCATTCTCATTAACAAGAATTCTCGTTAACTTTCCATCTTTAGATTTTGGGCTTTGCTTATTTTATTATTTGAAGAAGCGTCTTATAATACATTGAAGATGATGATGAAAGTATATCTTGGCTTCTTGGTCTAATCTGTTTCATGTTTTTTCCATAGTTTTTTAATTCGATTCTTTCATATCCTCGGATCTTGACATTTCCTATTTCTTCCTTTGCCGAGGTCTTTTGCTCTGATTTTAGATTTAGATTCGGCACTAGATGCAAACTTTAAAAAAAAATTTTTGCTTGTCATTCAGCGGCATTTTTCATTAGAAAGTAGAAATAGAAACATTCTACTATTCCATTCAATTCCATTCCGAGGTTTATTCCATTTTTTTATTCCATTAAATTACTAGAGGCAAAACGGTAAACGATTATGGAATATATTTACTTATTATTTAATTGCTTCAAAATATTTTCAGCTATAAATTTACTCTCTGCACAAATTGACGAAGCAAATTGAAATAAAATGTTCGAAGAAGAATAAAGTTTTTTTAAAATCCATCATTTAGCTTTAGATACATATTAAGTTGAAATTTCATCTTTAGTTATAAATCATCTTATGCTATGAGTATCCAAATTAAACGGAACGATTATTGTTTAGTTGGTTTATAAGTTAGAGTGGCATGCATTATCGCTATATAATAATATTATAATAATATAATAATGTTCTGATGTAAAAGGATTGATTTCTTTGCCTCGACTTATTTTTATTTTTTTGCTTTCTGCCAGAAAAGCTGAGAATTTAATTGTTATGTCAATCAAATGGAATATTAGCTTTGTAATACAATTTTATCAATGTCTTTGTAATTGATAAAATCTCTTATTTTTAAATATTTTATAGGTCTGCATCTTATAATTTTTTTTTTTTTGTTCTGTGGATTCATGCGAAGATCTCTTTGTTTTTATCAGTTATGTTTCTATCATTTTTCATTTTTACTTTCATTGAATAATTCTTTTTTTAATTGAATAAATATTTCGTTTTTCTTGTAATTTATTATTTTTATTATTCGCTAATTCATAAATCGAATAAGCAAGAGAGCAATTTTCTTTATTTTATGGAATAAAAATGGAAAAAATTAAGTTTAATAAGTTTTTATTAGCACTCTAATTACCATTTCTAATTAGCTGGCTACACTGGTTGTTAGTTCAATGAGAAATTTTTGCCGTGGATTTTTGTTATTTGACGATAGACGATAGAATGTTGGTGGGTCGAAGGCATTCGTATTTTTTGATGTTTAGGATATCGAATCGAATGTCTGTCGCAGGTGGGAGTTCTTATTCTTCAACATAACTATCTGCGTTATTTATCACTGAATTGTCTTGCCTTAGAATGCAAATTATTGCTCTTTAGTTGGCTGTTCGCTATTATCTTAAAATGTGGGGGAATTTTTTCATTTAGTTTTTTCTAGTGCTTAGTTCTGCACTCTTCAATAGATATGAAAGTCCGAGTCAACTATTTGTAGCGAATTTGGTAACGAATATGGCCGTAATTTGGGATTCGACAGTGGTACTCCTGTCTCAGGTTGATCTTTACAGTTTTGCAATTTTGCATGGTTCTTTTATATTTGTATTCAAGTATCCCAATTGATAATTGATAAATGAAATGAGTTTTGATAATTATTTTTGCAGAATTTGCCTATTTAAAGTTTTTAGGGCGTTTTCTTTTTTCTTGGTTGGCTGTTTTTTATGAAACAACTTTTTCGTTATTATGAAGTCCATCACAGAATGGTTCAGATTCTTTTCTCAGTTACATTTGCTTTATCATGTACTATGTTTGAATTAATAATTTTTGAAATATTGAATATATTGAAGCCGAGGTTAGTTAATGATTTTATTTTATTTCTAAAATATTTTTTTATATTTAAATGTTCTTAATTTTTTGTACTCTGCAGGTTTTTTTTTCATTTATTTTATTAATTTTATTGATGTCTACCCTGTCTATAATATATAATATATAATAGGTTATAATATATAAATTCGAATTGTTCAAACAAACAGTTCAATAGATCTATAGGATTTGTGAAACAATTTTTATCCTATTGGCCATTCTTTTTTTTGGAAATCAATTTTGTTTCATTTAGCAAAGGAAGAGATTATTTAGTCTAAAAAATCTATTAATTTTTTTCCAGTTCTCGATTTTTGCATTGGAAACTGGGATTATATTCAATACTATTTGTCCTCATTTTTGCTTTACCGGTATACGTGTCATTTTCCCTTTTTAAATCGATTTCTTTCAGTATGTTGTATTTTAATATATTTTTTCATCGATTTAAATTCTTCGTTTTAACAAAAAATTTAATTTATTTAACATTTAACATTATTTGCGGAGCAACTTTATTTAAGTTTCGATATAACAGTAGTTAAATTTTTTTACCTCTTATAATTTTTTAAAAATTAAACGACGAAAATACTATTCATTGGTATTATTGTTTTCATTTATTACTTTTATTATTATTATTTTCTATTTGGTATTATTGTTGTCAAATATAAATCTTTTTATTTTTATCCTATTGTTTTCTGAAATTATTTCATTTTAGTTCGGCGATCTTGGTTATTGCCTTTAACAGTTTGCTTATGGATGTTGTTTATCTATTTCTTTTGGAAAATTGGTGATCCGTTTCCGATTTTAAGTGCAAAACATGGTGCAAATTCTATTAATTTATACCTCTTGTTTTTTGCGTTTAAATGTAACTTCAAACGCGAAGGGAAACTTTTTTATAAATGTGGTTACTGAAGATCTAAAGGGTATTATTTATATAAAACAAAAGTAATTATAATTATTTTCAGGAATATTTACAATTGAACAAGCCATATCGCGTGTTGGTGTGATTGGTGTAACTGTTATGGCAATATTGTCTGGATTTGGCGCAGTTAATGCACCTTATTGTTATATGACTATATTTATGCGGCCTGTTCTACAGGTGCATGTTGCTCAGATGGAACGAAAACTTATGCATACTATGGAGATGATCGTCTCAAAGAAAAAGCGATTATGCTTATTGGAAAAAGAAGCAGCCCGCAGTGCATTCACTCAAGGTCCATCTATAAATCTCGATGGATGTGTGCTTTTCTTTATGTGAAAAAGTTCATCGCTTTAGCTATTTGTTTTGGCTGTCTTTAAAAGGATTGTGATAAGTATATTCATTTTATTATTCGTATAACTTTAGGTAACAGTAGTCGAGAAAGCTTACTTCAGCGACTTTGGGGATCGGTCACTTTCTCATCAAATTCTTTAAAAGGCCAAATAAGGTGGTATTCCTAGCTTTATTTCATTCTTTGATATATTATTTTCTTATAAAATGTCAAATAAAATATTTCTTTTTAAAATAAAATATGTTATTTAATTCTCTTAGAAAATTTCGTGTCTGTTCCTAAAATATGCAATATTTTAATGGGCACTTTTTTTTTGTTCATTCTTTATGGAAAATTTTTATTTGCATCGTTAATATATTTTTTATCATATGAGCAAAGTTAACCCCATTTATTATTTTTGGCTGTTTTCTTTGAAGATTTCATTTGTTTTTTCCTCAGGTTTTTTTAAATTTTTCTTTCTATTATATATTTAAGAATTTTGAGTCAACCCACTACAAATTTCAGCGCATATAATGCTGAAATAGTTCCCTTGGAAGAATTCAGCCGATATTTGTTTCTTGAATTAGTTGAACTAAGGAATATGAAGGTTTTTTCTTCGAAAATTTCTTTTCTATTCCCTTTGAAAATCAGTTAATATCGGCTTTCTCTTTTTTACTCTCTGCGAGATTAAATTGGTTTCTAAAAATCAAAGTGATAGTAATTCTTTCTTTATATTTTCCAGGATCGAATGGAATATAGTAAAACATGGCAAGGGCAATATTTTAATATAATGGGACACTTTTTTTCCATTTACTGTATATGGAAAATTTTTATTTGCACCGTTAATATACTTTTCGATCGTGTGGGCAAAGTTGATCCCGTTACAAGAGGAATAGAAATTGCTGTAAATTACATGGGCTTTCGGCTTGATGCAAGTTTTTACATTTTTTAAAGGAAACTACTTAATCACTATTTTGGAAATTGTTATGAAAAATTGTGAAGATGAGCCTAAATTTAGCATCTTAAACTAGAATTATTTTTTTAAACTCACATAATGAGCCGTTTATTGAGGCGTTTTCACTGATGTTTACTTTTATTTATTTTTTATTCAAAATATTTATTTGTAGGTTAGATTTTGGTCGCAACATATTTCGTTTTTATTGGTGGGTGTTATTGTTGTATCATCAGTTCGTGGTTTGCTGATAACTCTGACGAAATTTTTTTATTTAATTTCAAGCAACAAGTCCTCAAATTTAATCGTACTTCTTCTCGCACAAATCATGGTACTCGCGGTTATATAATTTAAAAATGCAATATCTTTCTTAACAATATTTAAATGACCAGTTTTCAATAGCCTTACCTACAGCAGATTTTTTTCTCTTACGGATTAATTTTTTTTTGAAGAGTTCTCACCATTACTAATTAAACTCGCTCCGCTGGCTTGTCGCACTGGATAGATACCAGGGAGTCCCTTGGCGATAGAAGTACAGATGAGTCGCCAGCATCACCCGGATTTTTGGATAGGTTTAGTCCTGCAGGGAATAGAGCATTAGCATTCAGAATTGAGCAACACGCTGAGCCATTCCATTCCCGGACGTAATATATAGTATAAATCGAAGGAACAGGGTAAAAAATAGGAAAATGCAATGCAAAGGTCAAAAAAAGTATTCGATCAAATTGTAATTTCAGGGAATGTATTTTGTTTCAAGTGTTCTATTGATGAGGATGAATATGCCTTATGAATATAGGTAAAATTATGAAAAATTTTTTAAATGGAATATACCTATCACCATCATTCTTGATCTCTGTTTTTGTAAAAATATTTTGTAATATATTTCTTGAAAGCTCCTTTTTCAGATCGATAATAACGGAAGTTCTTGGCGATCTTCAATTTAATTTTTATCATCGTTGGTTTGATGTTATGTTTTTAATATCAGCGTTAATAAGTATTGCATTTTTATGGTTAGCACATAAACAAACTCCAATATCATTAGAAAATGGATAGCGTTTCGGGATAATACTTTATTATTTGTCTCCCAGTCTGAACTTATTTTAAGAAGATTGAACATAATTCTATACTTTTAAAAATTTTTTCAACATTATTTTGATCGGATTTGCAATACGGACACCCAATACTGGTGATATTGAGTATTTTTTAACTAAAGATTCGCTATAGTGAAAAATAAAAGGAATGCTTATTGAAAAAACTGATCATAACATTCAAAACATTTATAACATTCAAAAAATACCAACTATCACAGTTATAGCGAGTGGAAATGAATTAACTGATTTCAGCGATTCATATTGAAACATTGAATTCATCTTCTTGCAACTATAAAAAAAGTTTTCAATTCGTTAATTCATGAGATATTCCAAATCTTCATCGTATTGAAGTCGACCGATTTTTTTCTAGATAATCTGGTTTATTTCACTTCTTCGTACGAATATTGTGCAAATAGCAGATAAGAAAGAGCTGTTATTTTTTTGTTGAAAATATATTTCGAAACAAATCGGCCACAGAAAGAAAATCGCTTTTTTTTCTTCACTACGCGGTAGCGAAGCTGGTTTATTCTGGTTATCCCAGGACAGTCTATACCGTCCTCAGTCCTTAAATTCCATCAGGATTTTATGATTGCATGCAATACAATTTTTTAGCGAATTTTTTCGATTAAATAATGAAGTTTTTTTATTACCATTTTTCAGTGCCTTGATGCATACAATAGTTTCATTTCTTTCATAGTATAAGCAAACTCTTAAAAATTTCGTATTTGAATAGAACTTATGAAAGCGATTGCGTGCAGTGTGCAATTTTATTGCTATTGTTTTTACTGATTTTTTTAAAAATAAGTCACCGTCGTGTGGTTATAATAACAACAATAAATGAGGTGCCAGTGAGAAAAAGTAAATGGCCAATCCAAAAGGAAATAGAAATAATATTATAGAATAACACAAATCAAACTGAATGGCAATCGCGTGCTGAAAGGCCGACATTTCAAACTTTCTGCACAATGTAAAACTTCTGAACAATGGATTGTCAAATCTTTTTTAAGATCAGCTATGCGTGGTGTATGCATACTATAGCTCATTCCAGCAATTAACGAATGGAAAAGTCATAAGTCCCTGACCTAGTTTTCGACACAGTTTGATGGTTTTGACCCAATAGATCTTATTGGGTTTAAAATTAGCCTAAAACTAAATTTTGAATCATCCAGACATAACCCTGTAAAATTTTATAAATTCGTGCTTTGTGGCGAAAATAATTTTTCTGGCAGACTCATTGAAAACTATTATTGATATTATGTAAAATTGGAAACAAGCAAATAAAGAATATGTGCGGTAAAATTAGCTAGATTCAAAACAAAAAACCAGCAACAAATTTTTTTGGCTGCTCACTGACCAGCTGAGAACCATCGAATTATTACCATTAAAAAAAACAGTACTTAAAAATTCGAAAAAATGCTCCTCGGCCAGGAAACATAGTAGTACATTACGGTAAAAATAAAATTATTTTATTGACAACAATCTTAAGAGTTTTTTTTCCTAAGAACATAATTTTAATTAACCAAATAATGGTGATGATAATGGATTTTCGATGCAATTTCCCTCTCAAAAAAACAAAAAAAATTTCGATAACAAATAAATATAAAAAGCTGATTAATCTATAAACCAAACATTATAGAAATTTTTGAAAAAATATATTTTAAGCATACTTTAAAATATTGCGAAATTTTTTGTAAGAGCTGCCGATAGGAAAAGCAAATTTTAAATAAATAAATACTATGAATTTGTATCTCATTTTAACATTACCGAAACAATAAAACATTGAACAAGGATCAGAGATTAAAAAGGAAAATTCTCTGATTAAAACATTCAGCAATTTGAAATAACGAAAATAAAATAAAATTCAAACAAGAATGAAAATTCATTTTTTCAGTATTCTTGGCCCATATAATAAAAGATATGCACAGTGCCAATCTCCGCCACCAGATAACTTTAGTATTTCCTCTGGTGTCACTGCATGCACCTTAAAATATAAGTTGAAATCATTTTTTATAAAATACCACCTTAATATATTTTAAGTCATCGTTCTTTCAATTTTTATTTTCTTGTTTATTCATTTATACAAGATGTTATATAATGATAAATCTTTTTTTGAAGTTGCAAAAATTAGCCAAAATGGCACAGATTTAATTTATATCAAATGCTAGCATAGAATTTTCGATATTACTATTCCTGAATTGAAATTTCTTATTTTTATAAACTTTTTTTATGAGCTATTATCAGTCCATATTAAACGTTAAAAAGATCAATGTATTACTTGATCGTCATCACACATAGCCCATCGATCTGCTCCAATTTTAATCCAAGCCACATAATGACCACTGGAAGATGATCTACCTTTATGAGTTATTACGGCCTTAAAAAACAAGAATAAGTGATGTTTAGAAAAAAAACTCATGGAATCAAGCGATATATAAAATTAAAAAAATTTTTCCACCGAAAAAAAGAAATTTCTCTCACTATAAGCTCATAAAATCCACTATTGTTTGAACCAGGGTCGTCTTCGAAACTGAAAGGCATTGCTTCGCTAGCTTCATTTTTTTTCTCTGATAGTTTTTTTGCATCAGGATCTCTCATCATTTCTTCAGCTTTTCCGTCCTCTTGTGCCTAAATATTCAAATTATAAAGTACAAATTTAAATCGATTCTCTGGCACCAAATTCTGTGAAGCACTAGAAAACTGCATAGTCAGAATACCAAAAATTGCGCTAAGATAATGCAAAAAAGGTTTTTACACAAAAAGCAAACATGTAAACTGGAACTGGAAAGTATTAACCACTTCCAAAATCAATGGATTTTCTTGCTTAAAGATTTCTGAAAATTTAAAGACCTTAAAAACTTCTCGCATTGGTAATAATTTTGCCTGTAGCTCCGGAGTGCACATATCGAATACATCCAAATCTAACGGAAATTTTACATCTTTGAGGATTTTCGCGCTAACCTGCAAATCAAATGATTTAAGCCACTGTAAATTCAAAAAACTGAAAACTGACAAATGTCTCCAGATTTGTCAAAATTTGTTCATTCAATCTATATTTTCTCTAGATTTTCAAAACGTTTCAAGATCTGGCAATTTCAGTTTTATTATGGGAAGAGTTTTTATTGAAAATTAGAAATGAAGAGTTAAGAAAATTAGAGACAAGATTTATACTAAAATTTAAAGAAAAATTTAAAGTATACTGAATACTGAAATGTATTTCTTTTCGTTTTCTTCTTCATTCAATTGTTCTTCGTGAAACTTTTTTTCATATTTTTCACAGATGTTATGACACGTTTTTTGCTATTACCTAAAAGGAATAATTTGAGAAATAAATTATCTGCAAAACCATACGTTATCTTTCTCTTTGTAGAAGAAACGGACCATTTGAATTGAAAGATAAGCAGGTAAACGACCCAATCTTTCGTTTCTTTCGTAGTGCGCATTTCTTCCCAAAACTTCTGAATGCTTCTCGAACACCTCTTTGAACTTATTTTTTATGCCAGATTGTAAATATCTCACTTCTTGATTGAGAAAACAGCTCAACTGCAAATAATAACCTAAAAAAGCTAACACTATAAATTTTTAAAGATTTTTGCAATATCTATTACTGTAATTAAATATTTATTGTCAATATCGTTTTTACTGGTTTATTATTTAATTTTTAAAATCGAAATAGCAATATTTTAGCGAAAAATTTTTTAAAACTATTTTTTATCTGAAAAAAATTCTTTTTTTTTCTTAAGAATGCCCATTTTTGGTAAGTTCGCTTCATCAGTTTGCTGGACCATATAAAATTTGCTATGAAAATCCTTGGTGATACAAGTATAATCTGCACCATCAGATTGTCAGATTGTCAAAAGAGAGGTGTACTCTTACGGCAGCAGAATCCAGAAATGAGATATCAATACCCTGACCTATTCTATCTTCTCTTTCAGAAATTTCTCAGTATATTTAATAAAAATACCTGTAAGAATTTTTCAGAATATTTAAAAAGTGGTTCGTCTTCAGTTTCTAGGTTCTTCAACGTGCCATCGAAGGATCCCTCCATGAACTGCTCAATAATGTGTGAATTAGAATCTAAAAAAATTTTTTTAAAAATTTCTGAATGAAGAATTATTAAATTTGTAGAATAATTAAATATATTGAATAATTAAATAAATATTGTATGAAAGAATCTAAAAAAAGAAAATTTGGCAAAATCTGCGGATTTTAGGACAACCTCCCAAAAAATAGAGGTGAACTCTCAGCAATATCTAACTACAGTTATTCGCCTCATACAATTACAACCATTACATTCCTTAAAAATATCCTCAGGATCTGTTATAACTTTTATACTTAAAATCTTGATCCTGAACAACCGATTTATCTTTCGTCATGTTAATCCCCAGGTTAACTTATTAACCTATTAACCTCAGATTTTGCAGCTGTCGCTATTATCATTTTCTGCTGAGTCCTAGGATCTCTGAATTAGGTGTTGAAGAATTATGGAGACGAGAAGGTAAACTGAGTAAAAACGGTTCAAACTCGGACTTGAAGGAGCATCAAGGGAATTACATTGAGACTGGATATTTTAAAGACAACTTAAAGGCTGTGGGACAATTATTTACAGTCACAAATAACCTGTCAAAAATCTTCTTTATTATCCACTAATATAAAGAGATTGAAGATTACAAAGTGCCATACTTAAATGATATTATGAATTAAATGAATTTATGATATTTTTACACCATAAAAAGATAAATAGTTCCAAGAAAATTTACGAGATATAATGGTCTATTAAATAAAGAACCTTCTGACTGCAAAGCTGCTTTTATAGTTCGAACCAAATCTGTCCAACATTCATTTGCATCCTGTTGCATAAACTGATATTGGTCGCGAGTTGCGAATTTAGGAAAAACTCGACGAAGTACCTAAATTGCAAAAATTTTCAAAAATGAATGAATGCCCAAAAAATCTCAAAAATATCAAATATTACTTGAAGAACTATAATAGGCACTATAAATCCTTGCTTCTTGCAAATCGGAGTTTCCATTAACATAAATATATCTTTAATTGCCGTTGTTAAACTTCTCGCGCGCAAATTAGCAGCTAAATCTGGGAAAATCGTATTTCTTGTCCCGGAATACGCATTTAAAGCTTCTCTGATTTCCGGAATCACCTTTAAATCAAAAATCAACGAGATCATTAACAAGAAGATTTATCCACAAAGTTCTCCACAAAAAAGGCTACGAAAGCTTAAAGTCTATGTAAGCCTTAACAAATATAAATATAAAATCTCCCACCCAATCCATCCATAGATTCAATCCATTATCCGTGAGAAAAAAATTTAAAAAATTTTCAAGTTAACAAAAAGCAAATAAATTTTTAATGTTTTCAATGCTTTAAAGCTTAAATCTTTTCTGGAAAAACAAATAAACAAATTTAACCCAACTAATATAACCAATATCACCAATTTCTCGCCCACTCATATTATTCTTAACTACACTACTTTTCTAAACTGAAATACAGCAAAACATGAATCCAGTAACAAAAAGAAAAATGAAATGAAAACATTACTCTAAGGTACTGAATAGTAGCATTCAGATAACAAGTATTCCCGAGATTCTTTATACCAATGGGCAAATCTGCAGCTGCAGCAATCTAAATTACAAAGATTTGAAAGTAAAAAATGAGAAAAAAAAAGAAAACTAAAGTGAACCCAAAAATCTGAATTAAATCAGAAAATTGAAAAAAAAATGTATAAAATAAAAGTATAATGCAAAAATATAAAATAATATAAAAAATAATCAAAGAAATAAAAGAATTATTTGTAAAAAAAAAAAGCAAAAACCTCGCTTTCTGTCATATCCTCAATAAACTGTTGACGATGTTCAGGAACTTGAGGAAGATCACCGGCACTACCCATCATCATTATGACAGCACCATCATTTAAAGTGATACCATTCCAATCATCGTCGCCAAGAGTTTTCCCCTTTAAAATATTTAATGATTAAATTTTTTAAATATGTGTTCAATGTGCTAAAAGCAGCCAACGGCAAATTGCTAAAATGCTGATTTAATAAACAAATTATAAGAAACTAATTATAAGAGATTTAAGAAACTAAAATCAGCATGGGATAATACGGAAGTATAAAATATTGCAGAGGACAACTCGATTAGCGCATAATTTAACTAAACTTTGTCTAAATTCATCGTTTACCAACGTCTGGAATAATTCGACCTTAATTATCAAATCACTGCAGTTGTTTACTTAAGTCAATATAAACAATTTGTTTATATCTATTTCACGAAGCTTTAAAAAGAAATTCGCCATTAGGATAGGCTTTTCATTAGGTTATCAATGTGGAAATATGTTGCTTAGGCCCTCGATGGATTTTTTACTTCTGCCGAACAATAAAAACTCGAGCCCCGGGTGGCAACTGGAACAACAACTAACTTAAATATACTGAAAAAAATCTAAGCGAAAATATAAATAATTGATTAAGATAATAACAATGAAACAATAAAAAAATGCAAAAAGATTTACTTTAATTAGAACTTTTTGTCGTTCAGGTAAAACACCAGTAATAGCATATAACTGCGACTTCAAAAGAAGTGGGGCTTCGTTTAAATCAGCGTTCACTTCCAACTTTTCACGTCCCCATTTAACAATTAAGTGTGGCATAATAAAAACCAACTAAAAAGTGCGAACAGATTTAATTTATCGAATAATTTAGTGAATAAGCCTACAATACTGGCAACGATCTTTTCGGTGACCACCTTTTCATCTGAATCTGAGGGACACCAAAAACATGAAAATAAAAAAATGATATTCACCACCTTTAACTATTCTATAGATCGGGCAACTAACTGACTAAATGATAAATCTTAAATTCTTTGGGAAAATCCAGGAATTTTATCTCTATTTTCTCTATTAACTTCAACACAAATGGACGAAAAATGAAAACAACTAAAAAATTTTAATTCATATAAACATCAGAAAGAAGTACCACAGGCCAGTGACCTTTCATATATACCTTTCAGACATCACAATATTTAATGCTAAATGTTGAACTATGCTAAATGTTCGACCTTTCCAAATTTCATTTGGAGTCAGCAAAACCTGAATCAAGTGAAAAAATGAGAAACGACCCATATAGCAATACTATACAGCAGCCGCGGCTTAATTCAATTGAATTTCATCATTTGTGAGAAAGCCGTAGACCTATAATTTTATCTGTAAATGCTGTCGAGCGAAGAACTAGTGGGACATTAAACAGTAACCTAAGAGAGAAAGGGGAAAAAGAGGGTTAAGAGAGATATTAACAGAAGCCATTCCTTTTTCTACCATCTAAGTCCATATATCGCTGGTCTCTCTATACGTTCAAAATCTTTCCTGACCATATCAGTCCAGGTATTGATTTGCCCTCCTTGCTTTTGACGCCACCCATCACATGGTTTAGAAAGTAACGAAATATGCGACAACTCTTGTGGTGGACGGCGGAGAACGTGCCCTGACCAGCGAAGGCGACGCTATGGGATAACATTATTAATGCAAGGGGTATTTGAATGAAGATTGATGTAATATTATATATGCTCGAGTAAAATGTACTTTGGTCAAGAGTGATCAAAGGTTTCTTAATATCCTCCACTCTCATTGGCCATGTCTCAGAAGCAACTTTGAACGAATCACGGCTATATAGATGCGAACTTTTGTTACGACTCCATAAAGGTTTCGTCAACTGGAAGAACGCATTTCTAGTTGACGTGATCTGGTTTGTAATATTATCTTTTGCATGGCCATTAGAGTGGATCCAAGGTATTTAAAATCGGGCACTTTCTCGACCGATAATGAATTTACAAAAAGAGGCATTTTATCAGTTCTTGTACAAAGATTTTCGTTTTGTATACATTGACCCTGATTCCTATTCTTGCTGAAGTTTCTGATACATTATTACTTGCATTCCGTTATAACTATCAGCAAAAAGGACTATCATCAACGTATTCAAGATCGGCGATACGATGCTCTGGACTGATTTGGACACTCCTTAAGTACCGACAAACGGTGTCCATCACCCAGTCTATCGCATAGTTGAATATTGTGGAAGAAAGAACGCAGCCCTGACGGACATCTGTTCTTATTTCGAAGGAATCTGTCAGCTTCCCATATACACAGACCTGCGCCGACGTACGCTCATAAAAAACCTTTATGAGTCTAACGATTTTCTCTGGAACACCGTCACGTTCCATCACCCTCCAAAGCGCCGCTCTATCGATTGAATCAAAGGCAGCCACAAAGTCGATGCACGTGACAGTGGCTTACAAATATTTGAAGCAATGTTCCAACACCCTTCTTAACGTGAATATCTGGTCAACACAGTCGCTCTGGTCTGAAACTAGTTTGATTAGGGCGCATCCTGCTGTCTCGTACTTCCATAAGTCTGTTGAGTAAAAGGGAAGCAAAAATTTTCGCTGAAACATCTAGTAGGTTGATAATTGTCCTATTTTTTGAGAATTGGGAGCAGAATTGCTTTGCTCCAATCATCTGGTTTCTTTTTTCTATACTAGAGAGTGCATTTGTTGAAAGTGTTTTGTGAAGGACGATGGACAATATTTAAAGAGTTCAGTCCGAAGACCATCTTCTCCCGGAGCCTTATTGGCCTTAAGCTTAATGAAGTTTTTTGCGAGTTGTCAGTTTTATGCGGATCTTGGCTCGAACCATAAAATGATCAGATCCATGAAGATTGCCCGTTTGTTTCAGCGCTGCGGTAGGAACGACTATTTAGTACGGAATTCTTCCAACAGCAACTGACTGATGTAATCAGTCTGGTTAAAGTGTTAGTTATTCAGGGAGTTTCATGTGATTAGATATTTTATACTGATACTGGAAGCAAGCATTAGTAACAAAAAGTTCATGCTTTTCGGCATAACGAAGAAGGTGTTTCCCATTGGCGCACCGGTTTTCGATGCCATATTTGCCAATTGTAAAGGTCATCGCAGCGGCATTATGACCTCACGTGCATTCCAGTCTCACTGGACTATGGCCATGTCATGTTTCGGTAGAAACTTTATTAGCAGTTGAAGTTCCGCATAGAACTTATCTTTATCACGGTCATCTGCCGACAGAGTTGGAGCATAGACACTGATGACCGAAATATTACAGAACTTACCCTTAAAACAAGCATAGGCCATACGGTCGCTTACCGGTTTCCACTCAATCAAGGCGGAATGGGCTTTGTCAGACATGACAATCGCCATTTCACCCCGAGTTATCCGAAGCACCACAGTAAATAAGCACTACCTCTGCTTCGAGCCAGGATTAATAATCACTTGAAGTAAGGAAGACGGACCTCCGACAAGCAAACGATATCCACACGATATTTAGAAAGGGTGTGGATAGTGATCGCTTGGCTTGCAACGTCCATAAGCGTTCTGACATTCCACGCTGATAGGGCTAGAACCTCGCCACGCGTGCAGAGAGCTGTTCTACTTGGTAGGTTCCGAGCAATTATCCTTGCTTGCGAGCATATTTTATTTATCAGCCTTGGGATCGTTTTATGCCCGGATTGTATACTTAACATGTACCACCGGTCTGGGAATATCATGAGTATCGGACGCCGTATCAAAAATATCTGATCCCTTCACCACAGAGTCACTTGGGGATAGAGATATAGGTGGGTCCCCAATCCGGATTTTTGACATAATGATAGGTTTCTCCTACCAAAGACAAAAAAAATTAAATTCAAAGAAAATAATAAAATTGACAATGAAATTTTAAAAATAATAAAAGAATAAAAAGACGACAATTAAATCTTAAAATTAAAAAATCTTAAAAAAATATATATGTATATATATATATACATATATATTTTCATGTATACATGTATATATATAAAATATATATATATTATTTATACAATTTAATTGATTTGATTTATAATTTATTTAATTTAATTGATTTAATTTTAATTTATTTTATTTTAATTGTTGTTTGGTAAAAAAAAAATTAAAAGTTTAAGAAGACTTAGCTGAATTGTGATCAGAAATGAAAAAAATAAATTCACGAAAATAGATCGGGAATATTTTTTGAAAACGACCGCTCAGCGAAAAAATTTTTGAAAAATTTCAATTCATGTCACCATCATTCTCTAGAGCGATATTCTATCAATTGAATCGAAGTAGCTGTAAAATTGGTGAAGGAAGTGAGTTATTGATATTTAAAACGAAGGCGCATCATTATTATCCCGTATCATTTCAATGATCACTCATTGAGTTATGGCTTCTTTGTAAAGAAGTGAAATAGTTTCCGATTATCACCTTTCAGAGCAACTGCCTCCATTCTACTTTGTGCCATACCACTGTCGTTGCAATTCAACTTTTCGGATAGTCAGGATCTCCTGATATGTACTTTGGCAACGTTTTCAGATAGTTGGACAGTTGCTTCCAGTATCCAACTATTATTTCCTAGCGAGGCAGTGGTTAACTTTCGAAGGTATTCTTCAGTTAGGACCAGTATTCTCTGCCTTTCTTGAAAAGTCATTGATATTTATACCACTGTGATGCTTCAATAATTTAGTTTAAAATGCACTTACTATTCTGGGATTTTTTAGTTTGAGATAGTTGAAGGACCTTGGGATGGGCTATTTCTTACGAGTTGTTTTATGCAAATCTTGGCTCGAACCGTTACATGGTTTAATCCATGAAGGTTTCACTTTCAGCGATAGGAACAGCTATCTAGTATTGAACTCTTCCAACTGATTTAATTATCAGTCTGGTTGGAGCAATGATTTTTTAGAGAGTTCCACGTGGCTAGATATTTTAGATGTTGGAAACATGTATTAGTAAGAAAAAGTTGTTGATGCTCTTCAGCAAAGCGATGATGATGCCATATTTACCGATTATCGAGTTAGTTCCTCGTGGGGTATCATGCTACGCACCTCTTCTTCGATTATGATTATGTTAACTGTCGGTAGAGATATTATTATAATAGATAATAGTTGAAGTTCTGCACAAAATCTATCCTTTTCTTGGTCGACTGCACATAAAGATGAAGTGATGGTGAGTTGTTGCTCAACTTGGAGTGCCGATGCTGAGGTTGGATTTTCCGCAGGAATAAAGCTATATAAAAATCCGGGTGATGCTGGCGACTCATCTGTATTTCTATCGCCAAAGGACTCCCTGGCATATCGCCGAATGCGACAAGCCAGTGGAGCGAGTTTAACCAGTAATGGTGGGGACTTTTAAAAATATATATATATACATCGATGACCGAAATATTGCAGAACTTTCCTTAAAAAAATATATATATACACCGATGACGCAAAATATTGAACTTTCCTTTGAAGCATGCGTAGGTTATACGGTCGTTTACTGGCTTCCACTCAATTCTGACTCGCGAACACATCTTGTTCTCAAGCCTTGAGATACTGCACTTATTACATGTACATGTACTACTGGGCTGAGTCAAAGAGATCTGACCGTTTCACCATAAAATCACTAAATACAGATATGATTATTATTGAAAAATATATATTGTATTTTTGAGGGATAAGCCCTTTAACATACCTAATCATTGGATAAATATATATTATATTATCATGAATTTTTCCAGAATGGATCATCCACCAATTTAGGCTTCATTTTCGATGTAAATCTTCGGTGTAAATCAACAAACTTAAGTGGTTACCATTTCTGATTCTTCTTCTTCTAACAGCTCTCACCATTATTAGTTAAGCTGGTTCCGCTGGCTATAAGGGTCTCCATGCTGCTCGGTTCAATGCCATCACTAGTAGTAATAGAAGCCATTCCTTTTTTCATCGTCGAAGTCCATCTATATGTTCAAAATCTTTTCTGATTGTGTCAATCCAGATCTTGATTGGTTCCACTTCCTTTTGAAGCCAACTATCAAGGGTTTAGAAGTAACGAAATATATGTCAACTCCTGTGTTGGACGACAAAGAACATGCCCTAACCAGCGAAGATGACGCTATTGTGATAACACTATTAATTAATACAGGTGGTATTTGAGCGAAGATGGATCATGTGCGATTTTATCTATTCGACAGATCCGTAATATCTTAGTGATGGGTGGTCAA